GTAGCCAGCAATTTCAAAAGGGGGGTTCTTTTTCTGAAAAAGTGGACCTTTTTCCAAAAAAACTTCATGTACCTAGGTCAAATTTTACCCAGAGTGGACCTTTTCCCAGCAAAAGGGGCCGTTCTTTCGAACCCCCCGAACCCCCCCTGGCTACGGGCCTGGTTTGTATGCATGAATGGGAGCGTGTACACAAGTGCATGTGTGTGCGAGTACTTGCATGTGTTTGGGCAGGGGGAGGGATAACCACCAGAAAGGAGAGAAGGGACATGGACTTGATTCCCACATCCAGAGATTTTTCCTCCACATACCCCAGTACCCCATATGCTTGTATTTCTGTTATAGTCATGAGCCTGAGCTGATGTTAAAGATGGAGATGTCAGTCTATATTAGGTCTTCTTATTGGAAGAGAGTGACTTTACTATATGTTGGGGATGGCTTAATTTAGAAAAAGGAAATTAAAAAAGGAGCAGACACAAATCAAACAAAATGAAATATGAAACTAATGCTGCATGTACAGGAAGCATTCACAATACTATAATATATACAGGGGTGACCTTCACATGCCGTTTTTAAGTATTACTTGGATTTATGATCTATAATCTGTAGTCAAGACAAATAGAATACTGGCCCTGGTTCCATCATTACAAGTGTTTGTTAGTGAAAGCAGCATTGGCTTAAGAACAATAATGGAGTTAATTAGATCTAAAGCCTTAATAGCGGAATCCATAGCTTTAACTTCTGGTGAAGTTTTGGGTTTTGTGGCAACTGCTTAGTAAAAGATTGATGTTGGGAAATACTTGGCATTAAATTATTTTAAGAAATTATGAAAGTGTTCCATGATTATGTTGTTCTGATATACAAATGTAAATTTGTTTTCAAAGCATGAAAGTTTAATATTTGAAATCATTTGCAGTTTTTAGTTTCTCTTTTTTTTTTTAATTTATTTATTTATTTATTTTTTTTTTTGGTAAGAGGATTTTATTAACAAATAGGTTGGATGGGCATGTGAAGGATTTTTGTTTGCTGAAACCTTTGTAGTTATATTGATATTTACCAAAGCCTTTTCTCAGAAACCAATTGATTGTTAGATTTTTTTAAAATGAAAATAAATTTGATACATGTTTTAATTATTTTTTTTTTTACAAGAAGTGGAAATGGTTAATGACTATGTAACCATTCACATAAAAGGGGCTAAAATCTATCGGCCTCTATTCTAAAATATTTATAGTTGGATGAGATGCGTAATAATTTTTTTAGAGTTGACGACAAGCATTACATTGTATGCCCTGTGTGTGGTTGCTTTATGTCTCAATTACGATTCCTTACAGAAATTATCTGCAACAGACACTGAATGATGCAGTAGGCAAGAGGATTGTGATAGATTTTTTGGGGTTTAACTGGGACTGGATTAACAAGCAGCAAAATGGTAACAACTGGGGGCCTTTGACAGCTAACTTGTTACTTATTGGACAAGAAGGTTGGAGATCATCCATATGTGAATAAGGCACCGTTCACATGAAAAATCCAAATTCCAAAAATCCATTGGCAGTATCTAGTGATCACAGTCTGTGCCCTGAATACCCCGCAGCGTAATTAACTAGCAGAGTGAGCGAGTTACTTCCAAAGCAGTATTTAAATCTCGATTGGATTTTTCATGTGAACGGTGCCTAAAAGTTCTTTTAAAATATCATTCTTTTTTCTTTGAAGGATAAGTATTTTACACTTTGTGGCTGGTCACAATGCTCTGTGGCCTACCGCTTTGTCTGGATTTTTGTAACATCCAACAGCAAGCAAAAAAAGAACCACCAGTACTTCACTGATAATATAAACCTTGTCATAACTTACTTTCTGCATTCAAATACAATTTAAACACCAAGTTGGAAAAAAACAGTCTTCAAAAAAATGTTAATACTACCTGTACCACAACATGAACTGTTAGACATTGTTGTTGGTTTTGTGGTATTTTATGATAAAATATACTTGCATTGTTTATTACCGTCTTTTTTGGTTTTGGCATTCGTTGCAACTGGAAATAAGTTCATCAGTTTGATTTGTTCATAATTCTAAAATACATATTTTTGCTCAAGATTTTAGTTTTGTCATTTTCAGGAAACTACACACCAGTCCATTATGATGAGCAACACAACTTGTTTGCACAAGTGCAGGGCTGTAAACGTATCTTTCTTTTCCCACCCAGCCAGTTTGAGTGTCTTTACCCATACCCTGTATACCATCCATGTGACAGACAATGTCAGGTACAACATTTGGCTGGCTGTTTACACAAATGTATTGAATTCTCTTATTATATTGTAACATGTTGTGGTAAGATTGTGTTCTTTGCTGTAAAGTAAGTGTGTTATAGATTTAAAGAGAAAGATTGTTTTCAGTTCCACTCTGGATATAGTTTTTCGTGTTGCATTGAGGTCTGATCCTGTAAATCATATACCAGTAATACTTCTAGAGCCTGCAGTTATGCGGCTTAAATCTTATTCTTAGATCAGTGATAAATCCCAATGTTCATTATGTTAATAATGTTGGCTACTTATATTATTTCACTTATTTCACTTTTTTTTGTAAAGGTGGACCTTAGGGCTCCAGATTTTGATCGTTTTCCCAAGCTGAAGAGACTGAAAGGATATGAAGTGATAGTCAAACCTGGAGATGTATTGTACATACCCATGTATTGGTAAAAAGATGCAGTATCTGTAATCTTCATTTCAGCATTAAATTTAAGTCTATAACCTCTAGCAAAAAAAAAAAAAAAAAAAAAAGGTATCCAACTGAAGGATATGTTAAATTTGTCTTTTTTTAATTTTCGTTTATTAATAGATAAAAAGTAAACACTGTACATTTTATGTAGCAAAATTGGAATAGTTCAGCATTTTAGTAGAATTTTCTATACAAACAGTGAGTTCAGAGTGTCCAAGAAATTAGAATAGTATTTTGTATTCTGTTATAAGTTACTACCTGCCTATGTAATGATGAATAGTTTGGCATGAGGCAGAATTTGATAGATTATTTTGGAAATAAGTTTTAACCCTGGCCAATGGTCTGAAGACATGCTGAAAAGAATTCCTAGAGGTTTGTGGTGATAAAAAAGTAGAATATTACCATGTTTGGGCTATCTTCATTCTGGCTAGATTTAAATTCAAAATTCTATATATATGATTAAAGGTTATCAAATTACAAGGTGATGTGCTGTGTGGAATCTATTGTATGCCGTTTTATATATGTGAAGTATATTATCTGTATTCCACAGGTTCCATCATGTAGAGTCCATAATAGGAAGTGGTATCACAACTTCCATAACTTTTTGGTACAAGGTAGGTCTCTCCACTTACCCATATCTCTAGTTTTGTCAGTGGTGCCTTACAAGTATATCATTCAGTAAAAAAGTGCACATGCTAGCACACACATTAACTTTGTTTTGATATTGAACCCAAGTTTCAATTCTTCCATAGGAGACAAGCTAGGTCACTAATATTACAGGATTGTTATGTCATCAGTTATGATTATTGTTAGTAACATGTTAAACAATAGATTTTCTGTATATATAGTTATCATAGCAACCCAGTATAGACAACACAGCATAGTCCTGGGTACTACTTGAAATAAATCAAAGCATTTTTATTGGGTTTGGTTTGGGAGGGGGAGGGGGGGGGGGCACACCACACAAAGAACCTCCCTCTCTGGCAATGCCCAAAGTTGGCAGGAATCCATGATCTGGTGTGGAAGCAAGTACGTCATCTCTATATTAATTACATTGTGTAAATCTTATCCATCCTGCCACTGACTGTATGAAAAGGGTATCAATTTACACTTTCTGACCAGAGTGGGTTTGTGCAGGAAGTGGGGTATGTTTGTTTAACACAAATTGATGGTGTTAATAAGTGAAAATTAATTTAATAAAGCATTAATTGAAGCTGACGTCTTCCCAGTGAAATATTGGTTAGTGTAACATCCTTAACCAACACACTGGGTATCAAATTGAAAATATATTAATGTTCATATTGCTTGAACCCCTTCATTGTCAATTCCTTCAGTTCTGATATGCTTTTCAGCATCCACATTTATTTTTCCTACCTGTGCATGTACGTTTGGTGATATTTGATTAATAACTGTTTCCTTTTCATTGGTTTGACTTTATTAATCTGCATTTAGCAAATGTCTACTAAACTTATGGCGAAAAAGGTTCATCATTTCTGGCTAACAAAGGGCTATCTCTATCTTTGACTGAAGTGGGTTCACTGGACGCGTTTGCCAGTGGCCTAAAATTGAGGAAATCTGGGTTGCCAACCTTGGATCATGCAAACAATTGCTGAACTCTGTTGATTTATCTTTGGTCAAAGTAGACTAAAATTTGGATCTTAGACCCCATTCCCATACCTAGATCAATCTAGCAGGATTGACCCATGGCTGAGGGGATTCTCTCTTGGGGGCAGATTGAGGCCGTCTTCTGGGTCTTCCGGAAGATGTTCAGATTTTCTCGGTCTTGGACGGTCAAATTATCTCTGTTGATCCCTCTTCCATTTTTGCCCATCTTCCGACAGTAAAAATTAGATAATTTGGAAGACTGTTAGAAAATATCTCTGTATCCACCCCTGTGACACTAAATTGCAATCAGATTAAGACGGTCAAAAATGGAAGAGGGATCAACAAAGATAATTTGGAAGACTGTTAGAAAATCTCTGGATCTGCCCCTGTGACACTAAATTGCATTCAGATTAACTGGCTTAGATATTTGGCCCACCTATAGAAGCTGCTAAGTGATAGGTAATTACCCCCTAACAGCTTAAGTAGGTGTGCCAGAGTTACTTTAGCTGAAAGCAATTTAGCAAGAAAACCCTCAGAGATGGGTCAATCCTGCTAGATCGATCTGTTCATGAGAATGGGGTCTTTGTTTAACAGACTGGATCCAGGCCATCAGATTGTCTCTCAATATGAGTAATGATAATGATTCCATGAATAATAAAAAATGTATAATTACACTAAGCCTATGATCACGTGTTATTGGAGAGCAGATTCTGAAGTATTAAATTTGCTGCCCATGGGGAAGGAGGCTAATCAGAAAGGGCTTCAATAAGAAGGGTTTATCAGCTGAAATATAAATGTATTGTTTCAGTCAGGGCCTACAGGCAAGATTGAATATCCACTTAAACCGCAGCAGAAGATGGCTATGATGCGGAATATTGAAAAAATGATAACAGAAGCTTTGAACAGTTCAGAAGAGGTTGGAGTTTTTTGCTTTTAAAATAAATATGCAGCAACAGAGTGACATCACATGTGCTAGCTTTCTGAATTTGCCTGAATTTTTTTTTTTTTTTTTTTTTTGATACCTCCAAATGATTTTCTTATTTAAAAATGACTTCTAAAAATTATTTTTGAAAAATAGATAAGTATATTTAATATTGGTCTGACTTAAAGGGATAATAACTCTTCGTATGAGGTCATTGTGAATAACTCAAAGAAATATAGTATATTCTGTTTTATGACAAAAAAACAGCAGTTAAAGCTATTATTCTGATATCTAAGCTTGTCTTCAGACCACGTGACCGCCATTGATGGCTATACTCTGTTATAATCTCTTAAGAGATTTTAACAAAAAACCAAACTTTTTAGAAAAAAACCAGGGACTAACTTTGAATGTAAAAATGGATTCATTAACCATTGGTAAGTACGGGAAAATTGTTTTTGAACCCAGGAAAATTCATTTTTTGGCCAAAACGAAGAGTTATTATCCCTTTAAGTTAGATGTTCTTATTATTTATTTATTCATTTTTTTGCAGGTTCCTCCTTTCATGCAAAACATGGTGTTAGGAAGGTACACATAGCAGTCCATGCCCACTGCAATAACTCTGTTGAACAGTGTTGAATTTGCCTTGTGAGTTTCAATTGGATGACAGCCTTGTTGTTCTGAGAGTAACTTTTTTCTTTGTGCAAAAAAAGTATTGGACACTGGATATGGAGTCATGGTCATGGAATCACAGGTGCCATAATGCTTTTGTATCGTGTTTGAGGATTTAGGCAACAGAATGAAGACATCCCCATAATTATGCTTTAAAAGCATTAATCTTAGTTACATGCTGTTTTGGAAGCTGGTGATGGAAACATGCTGTGCGTAGACGACATAATTACTTTCGTATTACGGAAGTGTGTACACAGTAAGAGTGCTGTTCTGTGTGTTCAGAATAACCCATTGCGCTCAGTTTAGCTTGAGCTCATGTATGGAATCAAGCTCACGAGAAAGGGGAAAAGGAGCAAGATTCAGAGGTTGTTTTGAAAGCAGTCATCCATCAATGAAAATAAAAAGGTCATGTTGTAGACTGTTGGCTGCTTGTTTGTTTGAATCAATTTATTAAGGCAGCTCTTTGTTTGTTTGAATCCATTTATTAAGGCTATCCATCATCTGCTTGATATTGGCTTCATTCTATTTTAGTCTGTAATACTGTAACAATAATGAAGCTTAGTACACATGCTGCTTTAATATTTATTCCTTCCGCAGGTCATCATGCCTTAGCTCTAGGTTCCAATATAATGGGGCTTAGAAAGAGGAAGATGTATATCGCCTTTGAATCACAGTACCTTGGGGTAAACATTCCCTTATTGTCTGGTTGTAATCTGTTTTAATAGGTTAGACAGAGTGTGGTCAGGCCACTGTGGCGAAGCCTGCAGTGATAACCCATATGTGGTTAGCATACATATTCTCAGTTTTTTTTATGTCCATTTGCCATATTGGTTCTTAGATTTGTTTACTTGAAATAATTTGTAAAAAATTTATTGATGTTAAAAATTGCAGAGAATCATTAAAAATGAAGCTGCATAGCAGGAAGAGGTTTTTTGAAAATGTGTTTATTGCAAATTAGGATTGTCACTGAAATGTTATGGTGAAAAGCAAGTTGTCACACTCAAAAACAAGGCCTACAAGGCTTCAGCCATAACATATACATGTAATAAATGATACTTTTGCATTAGTTTTCTTCACCATTTCAATGCTAAGACCAACTTTGCGACATGGAGTTTTTTCTATGTTCAAGACCTCAATGTGTTAGTTGAAAAATTCCAAGAAATACAGAAGACGGAGTAAGCAAAGGCAGGTTCCAAATTATGAAAGTTAGTAGACCAGGGGCAAGCTGTCAGTGTCCAGCAAACAAGAAACAGTTNCTATTAAAAGATTAGGCGGTTTTTCTTTCATGTACGTCCGCCATTTTTAGTTCTCAGGATTTGTAAAGCCTGGCTCAATTCGTTGAGAATGCGGCCTTAGTGATTATAGTAGCAAAGAAGAGATAATTTAAGCATGGCAAAGTTTCAGCATCTTTGTAAAATGTGAACTGTCAAGTAAATTTTTACATCAGTATTTCGTACAGTTGTGAAGGTGTAGCACTTCATTTAAATTGTCCCTTTTAAATGTGGGACACTAAACAAACGGTTATTTTGATAAATTCTTCAATTGCAGTTCAGTTAAGTTTGACTATTTATACTTAGTGCTGCTGCTATTATATATATATATTTCTTGTGGTTACAGGGTATCGCCTGTCTGTCTGTCTGTCTGTCTGTCAGGCTCTCTGTTTGCTCACTGTGCTTTTGAATTAAGAGGTAGCAAGTGTTTAGGAATTCATAAGTGGCAAGTGAGAACAAATGACAAATGAAAAACATTGCAGTTGTATCTCTTAATTTATGTGAAAGGAACAAACGAGAATTAAGATTTTCGGATTGAAAGTACATGTTTAATACCAATTGCCTTTATTCGCTTTTAATGATGGTATGTTGAAAATGTTCTTAATTCATGTGTTAATTTATTCTTTGCTTATACGTACATACGTGTACCAGTGCACTTTTGTACCATGTAGTCCTTTAAATAGAGTACACCAATAGTTGTGTACATCTTGTAATTTGTACATTCATCGATGATAAAATAAACATCCCAAGTGTTATTCTGATATGTTTTACCACAACAGTTAATAATAAAGTTCCGAATTATGAAAGTTAGATCTAATATATGAGAGGTGCATTTATATAAATGTTAAGATTCATACAATGAGAGTTAGACTAAGAAGTTTCAACACTACTTCTTAGTCACCAAGGCACATGTATGCCATATCTAAACCAAAGTTAGGTTTAATAAACTGGTTGCTGAGTTCCAAGTTTCTAATTTTTGAGTCGCTTTCATTAAAGTGCATACGTGGTGTATGCTGAGACTTCAGTGAAATGGTAAAAAAAAATGAAAAAATGGGCGAACAGATCGTAATTTTCATAGCTGTTTTTGGAAAGGGTTTACTTTGATAATGGGAAAATTGCGGATTTTACAGAAAAAATTATTGACATCAAGTTCCAATGTGTTTAGGTTTTATGTGTGTACGCGCGTCGCATTCAAGCAGTGTAGAAGCAAGGCTTTGTAGAAAGTAAAGACCCATTTGTTTGATATTATATTTGTTAAGGTATCTGAAAAGTCTCGTTTCGTCAAAGGTTAATTTTTATTTATCATCAATAAGTATGGTTTTTAAAAACGGCTTTATTGTTACTAGTTTTTCCATTCTGCAATGAATTTTGTAATGTATGTTCGGACTTCAGAAACTTGGTCGTTTTCTTCTCTTGGCTACAGAAGACGTATGGCTTAAATGTTATAAAATATATCCAGGCCTTCGAATTTTCATTCTACATGTAATATAAAAATGCACTGTAGCTGATAATACAAAACCCCCTCAATTCTTAACGAAGCCTATTATGAAGCGCAGTACTATAGCGATATTTGTCCATTAATTAAAACACCACTGGTGACAGACAGCCTTTTCATACCCTCTGCCAAGGACGCAGATAAATTATATACACTTTTCTCTAAGTGCAGACAAGTATCATGAATAAACCAGTGACAAACCTGTGGATATCTAGTGAAAAATCAACCTGTGGCCCTGGCAAAGGGTAGCTTCTTCCCAACGATTAAGAAAAATCCACGCTTTTTACCAGTCTTTTAAGTGTTTCAACCCTTTTCTTTAAAATTGGTGATACTTTCTGAAGGATTATTATTGTTCAAATACGAAGGGCCTGTATTTCATTTTAAAGGGGAAATTCTCAACATAAAGTCTCATCTGAATTCCATTAAAAAATTCCTGAAGAAATAAGTAAAAGAAACGAAAGAATACTGACCTGAAATTACCCTCGTATAGAAAAAAATGACAAAGCCGCAAAAAATGATTATTTGAAAGTAAGTGAACGCGATGGCTGTTTATAAATAGCACACGTCTTTCCGTCAAGGTTTTAACAAGTGTTAATTAATTTTGCAGGATTTCTCATTTTTAATGAGCACACTTAAAATTACCTTCATTATGAGCAGTACTAAGCAGAATACAGAATTGTTGATTAGCCCCTTCGTTATTCGCTTCTCATCAATTAGTTATTTTTTGGTTCTCATTATACAGATTATTACACGATATTTATGGTAAGTCAAGGGGTTCGACGGCAAATTGAAAATATCTTCATTCGTGAAAATGAAGACAATTCTTTTTATTCATACCCTTCGTGTATACTTTAATACAATGTACAATGTTTTTCTTCAAGCGATATTACAACAGAAGAATCCCTTTGTAGAATTCTGGGGATTATATTTCATACCATGTCAGAGCCTGGTCCTAAGGAGTGAAATCTAATTCCCCTTAAAGTGTTTCGGCTATGGAAAAAAAGCAGACGAAGTTTGATCAGGGATGTAAGGAGGGTGTAGAATAAGTTCCGAACGAAATTGGCGGCATATTATATCATCGAAAGCATTTACAAAAGTACAGACTGTATAGACGCAACTGTTGCTCATTTCCAATAAATAAAATCTGAAGTAAGGTACTCTTCTTGGCTGCATGAGAGATTCTTACTAACCATGCTTTATATATACAACATTGGTCAAAAAGGTTGTCCCACCTTCAGTGTCATGTGCTTTTATTTAGAAATGATCACATCACAGGAGAAGATTGTTATAAATAGTGATTTTCATTGCAAATACCATAACTAACATGATTAGTAATACAGAAAATACAAGCTAGCGGTGAAGATATCAATATTTAATACCATTTATTCACGTTTATTACATGTACCCGCCTTACTCATGTAATCACCAGTTTTTTCTTTAATTTATTCATCGCCAGGAATCTGTTGAACTGGTTGCATTCAGCGAGAGCTCCCGGGTAGTTGGTATGATCTACGTAGACCGATAAAGGGGCGGTACCAAAATTATTTGAAGGGGGGGTCCGGTTGTTTTAGGAATGACAGGCCTCTGATGCAAAGCCGACCCTCGCCTGCTTGGTGTAGGGTTCGTGGCCCGCTCAAGGGCGCCGAAATTTTTTGGCGTTGGTGGTAATGGGCAAATGGTGTCAGTTGATACGGTTTAGAACTATGATTCGGCTAATGAAAAATGCTAATTTCAAAAAGGAAATGTTGGTGTGATTTTGTTTTTATAAACCAAAGGTAGGGGTCAGGACCCAAATCTGCCACAACAACAGCTTCATTGAGAATGAACCCCCATCTTCCCTGTTCCCTGGTCATTCCAGCCTTGGTTCCAGATGGTACCAGTCCTCGAGTACATCCCCACTTTTCAGGATGGCCATTTTCAGCCGCACCTCTCCTATCAAGTCGTTATAGAAAGGGTCCGTGTCATAGACCTGAACAAGTAACGACTTCTGATCCAATTCTTTCTCCTCGCACTAAAATATAAATTAAATGTGCGGATTGCCATCATTATAGTCGACAATTATTTTGTAAACTCAGTCAACTGTATAAATACGTTAAGATAGTAGACTATAGAGTCTAACTAGTGATATGACAGAGTTCTCTTTGAATAAATGAAGAGAACCGACTGCACGCGTAAATCAACTTGGATAAATGTCAACTTCGGGCCTCTGAAATATCAAATTTATGGGTTTTACATCATGTAATTAAAACATTTCTTGGTATCTATTGGTAAAGACAAAAAGCAAAAATCAGTGACAGAGAACTTGAACAACTGATCTCAGGCAGAGAAACGAGCACCAGGAGAGGACCAACTGATATGCTGCAGAGTACCATATTGAAAGTTTATCCATATGATGCCTTAAGATGTGAAAATGAAACTCAGGAAATGGGGTTATTAAGATTCTGCTTCAAAACGGAAACGGCGATTTAACGCATCTTTTTGTTGGAACGTATAATGAAAGAATATTGTTGATTGCTATAACACTAATATAGTAACTTATAGTAACTTATAGTAACTGGCTCGCGCTGCCAGTAATTACGCCGCGGGATATTCAGGGCACAGACCGTGATCATAAGACATACCGCGAATAGAAAATAGAATTTAGAAAATAGACATTGCATGTGAATGAAGCCTTAATATCCACTCAAGGTCACATGAGCTGCAACCAAGATTTCCTGAGGATTATTAATTTTTGCGGCTATATTAATGTTGCTTTAACTTAAGGTATCCTATCCTGGATTTCCCCGCCAAATCAATTTTGTTCTCAAGAAAAAAGAAATTGCTTGAAAATTAATTTTTCTCCTACTAACGAATAATCCACTCATCCCTGAACTTGGACTCAATGTCACAAAAAAGACGCCCCATATCTATTAGAATTAAACGAGATCTACCTCAAACTCAAAGCACTGGTGAAAAACTGGGTGTGAGGTGTTGCTTTGTTTGGCGCTCTCCTCAAACACACCATCCGGCAGGAGTCTCACCCGGACGTAAGGATCCGGTTTACTGAGATGACCCTCAATGTCCGCGTCTGGGAGGTCAACCGCGCGCAAGATATTTCCTGTTATCTGCAATAAAAAGGTTAAAAGAATATTTATATGGATTATGAAAACAATCATGGACTTTTTATTTCACACACAAAACAACTTCCACTACATTTATATAATTCTGTGTAAGGAACATACAATTTGATAATGTACATGTATCATATTCGCGGATCTGTAAACACTAGACCTAATGACACCAGCATCAGTAAGTTTCATTTCAAAACTTTATTTTCTGTCCCCGAAGATGGAACACAAATTAATGTAAATTTAAGCTTTGAATGCCAAGTGTGACCGTATGAATCCGCACACAGTCCCCGTATGCCATCTTGTACATCTTACTTTTTGTCCATCAAACTTCACAGAAAGCTGTATTTTCCCTGCTAGCGAGGACGAAAATAGCTGGAATTGTAAAGATAATTTAATTACTTTGAGTAAACAAAGCAAATTTTAAAAAATAATAAAACAAATAATTTAAAAGTTTATTTCGTATTGAATATAATACTTGATTAACATAACGTAAAAGAGCGGGTATCAGAAAAAAATTACCAAAGTTTTCTTTCATTTAATGTAAACATCAAATATTATTTTTGCCTCCTCCCCCACCCTAAAAAGCTCTTTCCTTTCATTTTTTCCAGTATTATCCGTGGCCAAAAAATTTCAGATTCTCACAAACATTTGAAAATCTCCCGAATATACTGTATGTGCAACTTTTTGCTCTCAAACGGGTAATCAAAAGTACTAGGTCTCAGAGAAAGCATAATCTCTCGAGTTTTCCTCTTGGGTGATCAATAAACGTACCAAGACACGGTCTCGAATTTCATTGAATTCCGTCAGATATTTGTCTGGCAGGTACACGCCGTATGCCTGGAAGGCGGGTTTACACTGTGCTGACAGGGGCAGGTTGCGCAGGTCCAAGTTGAATATCACATCGTCGAATACCTGCAGCAAAACATACATTATATGACACATAAGGTTAGAAGGCTGCTTATCTAAATTTACTTGAACATAATGGGCTAGTACAGGGTGGTTTGTGTTAGTTACGAGAAGGGAAGAGGATGGGTAAGGTAAAATGCACGTGTACGTATTATTTTGCAGGTGAGCAGGTTTTTGTTAATCGTTTATAATACTTTTTTTATAATACATCAGTATAAAAGGTGTAGGCTATTAAAAAACCAACACAAATCGGGATACAATTCACTTTGATACTACTTGTTTAAAAAAGATCCAATCCATTTGACGTCAATTTTGCTTTACATCCCGGGTTTTACATACGTGTTTTTCGAGAGCTGCATAAGATCTAAATTTCAGAATACTCAAAAGCGTGGAAAATGTAGCAAGTAATTCCATTCACCTCAAGGATGCCTTCAATTTTAGCCGCAAATTCGGTTACACTGTCTTTTGTCCTTTGGTCTACATGAAGTCCTGGAATACGACGGTATAATTTTTTTATTTGCTTCTGAACATATTTTAGTTCACCATAACTTTCGTCTAACTTTTGAAGAGTTCTCTCAGCAGGGGCAGCTGGGATAGGAAACGATCTATCAATCATTCCAAGGGGCGTGATTCTTGCGCTAATGGGCACGCCTTTTCCAGAATGTGTCACGTTGATGTCTTCCCTAAGAATCTGCAAGGCGTGGCTTATATCCTCAATTTTTTGTAACTTAACTGAAATGCCCGGACTTGACCAGTAGTTAATATCTGTCTTTTCTATTGAATCTTCGATTTCTTCTTTCCAAATTGTTTTAATGCTTGAGTTTGTCTTGTCCAAGAATGACGACATCAGTTTCTGAAAGCAATTCGAGTTTTTATTTCTTTGGCACGCAAAAAAAAAAAAAAAAAAAAAAAAAAAAAAAAAAAAAAAAAAAAAAAAAAAAAAAAAAAAAAAAAAAAAAAAAAAAACTGAAAAAAAACAAAACAAATTTTTAGAACTAGCATCAAAATAACAATAAAATACATATAATTAACGGCGTACAGCTTTGGCAAACCATGTTTCCAGTTTCGTTCCCAAGAATACATGTAACGAAAAGATTCCTACATGTATTTCTCGTTGAAAAAGAAAATGATAATAATATCTGTCATCGTTCTTACCGGTAAATCCACACCTAATTTTGTAGATATGCTTTGCTTACACGCAGTTGACTTGAGTGTGTGAGACATGGAGAAGACGACGCGTCCTCCGTAGGTGATACTGTCCACGAAGTGGGTCCCCAGACCACGGTCATGGTTATTTTGCCAGTTAGAGCGAGGTACAGCGTTCACTGGCAGGGTTTCTGTCAGCTGTACAGTTGAGTATTACATGTAATACGTTTGATAATTTCATAACTCACATCTTGAAATTATTTTTTTCATGATAAGTCTATTGAACATTCTATAGACTTAAACTTATATATATGTTAATAATAATAACATAAAAGGAGAATATTTAAAAAATCACCTTAGTAATATCTGTATAAATGATCAATGCTAAAATATAACTATTATCATTATAATTTTTATTAATGTTGTCATTACTGCAAACTTCGTACTTCACTTTATTTAGTTGTAATGAGAGAGAGAGAGAGAGAGAGAGAGGGAGAGGGAGAGAGAGGGGGGGGAGAGAGAGAGAGAGGGAGAGAGAGAGGGGGGCGTTTACTGACCGTAGAAAATTCAATACTTCCTAAGACCACCACAGCACTTCTCTCCTTTTTAACCTCTTGAAGCAAGTTTGCAGACACGTCCATTTGGACCAGCCCCAACTTTGCCTTCAAACTTAGAGCGGGAGATATATTGAGAAAACTGCAAACGTCTTCATTCTTTTCAACAATCTGTAATGAAACCATTTTAAGTAAAAACAATTTCTTTTTTGGTCCAAAAGAAGCTAATTTGTAATTTTAGTCATTTTATTAAGTCTCATATGAAATATTAAATCGGAAATAATTGTTAAAAAGACATCATAAAACATGATTATGTAGCACTGAGGGACACAGACCGAAATTCTTAACTAGAAAGTATCGAAACAAGACCAAAGCTTTTTCCACGAGAATATTCACGATACCTCCTCATCCGTTAATATCTGTACAGGGCTCACTTTTATGATTCGTGTTTTTTTTTTTTTCTCTTTCATTGGATACTTCAGATTTGACACTGCAAAAGTATACGCAAAGGGTTTGTTCTCGGTATCAATTCATGTTGTGTTTTAAAGGCAAAAACTAATGTAATTGCCTATTAGGGCAGTATGGAATTGAAAAAGCATGTTGTATCTCCTCAGAAACACAATTTGACCTTAAAATTAGTTTTGAGTCCGTCGCCAGGAATGACGTCAGCTCGACTGAGGTCAGCGTCGTCGTAGATACACAAAGGGCACACGGTTTCTCTGTAGAAATCGTAGGTGACGCCAAGACGCATAGGCACGATATACGGAATGACAACCCCTTGGCCAGTGACAAAACACTTCTTGTCTACAGCGGCAATCTGAACAAAAAAATGATTCAGTAGTAATTTATTCCGAGAAAAAGGCAGTCCAAAATTAACAGTGATTTTTTAAAGGATTTCGTTCCTAAGAACTATGCACTATATTTTATTAACGCCTTGATGTTTTTCATTTTGACAGCTGAAGATTTCATATATACATACTTATCTCCTCTCACTTACATCTCGTTTTGTAAAGGCAGTGTGTTATTTGAGGACACATCTATTCACATTCAAAGGTTAATACACACTACCGTATTCATGTCGTGACGCTATATAGTGATTTCTATGTCCCATAATAGCTGACAAGATTTTTTTGCGTGTTTATAAATGATAATGACCTCGGGACGATATACAATAAGTGAATATTATGCATCTTTATGGAACATTGTTTTTTTCCTTTTTCACCTTTTTCTCAGCAGTTATAATGCAATTTAGAGAGACCAGTGGTTTTCACTTTTAAACAACTAAATTAACACAATAATAACAACTAGTCCCATACCATAACCCCGTCAGAATTTAGCAATTTTGATTTTTACATACAAGAATGGTTACCTGCATAAACGATATAAGAAACAAAATGGAATAAGTTCAATGGTATCTTTTAAGGCAGCCATTTCGAGCCCATAATACAATTATAATGATATGTACCTCGATCCAGCCTCTGTCAACCCGAGTGTCTATTATAAGACATGCTGTTGGTATACTGATAATAGAACATACATGTAGTTTCCAGTTATTTCTAAAACTCAGTGAGAGGACGTGAAACCCCAGCACTGCAAACTAGTTTCTATATTCGCTATCGTCAGTATCACAGGCAGTGAACGGAAAAGATGCAGTGTACCCAGACACGACAGAGACTATAAAATATATATGTATGTCACTTACCTCTTGGGTGGCTAACCGAAATAGACGTTGTCCTTTTCGGATCATCTTCAAAACTTGTACAATGTAACTCTAAGCTTATTCTCTATTTCTCTATGCCTTGGTTTGGTCAGTTCCTACATCACCTCGGGCACGTGAGGACTACCGAAAGATGCTTGCATCCGCTTTCGCCTTCACTTTAAGTTGCTTATAAGAAGTAAATAACCTATTTCACGCTAAGGTACATGTAACCCGTATCTGTTGGGAAGATATGCGTCATAATTACCGCATATACCACAAATGGACTAGTTTCTGCATAGAATACAAATAGCACACAGTCAAGTTTATTTTAAACGCATTTTGGATGATTCAGAAAACTTACAAATTTTAGTGCTTTTGGGTGAAAATCAAAAGTTGGAATTTGAGGCCTTTACGATGTTCAGTAGAGGATCTGTAAACGTTTTGCATGATCAGGAAAACTTTGAAAGTTTGACTTCGGTATTCCACATATTGAAAGAGAAACTTTCCTTCAGGGTTGACCTATACAACCACATGACATGAATTATTCGTAGTTGTTTTAACTTTAGCACCATGTCAACCAGCAACAATAATTAAAAGGTTAAATACCATATCGAATCCAGTTATTGTGATGGGGGTAGGAGGAGGTGAAAACCTTTTTGCGTTAATTCATTTTGCATGCCTGCCTTTATACATGTAAAACATTTAAAGGATGGTAAACGGTGTGAAGGGACACGTGTCATCCCCCAGCCCCATCTATGAGAAGTGAATCTGGTCCTCAAGAATTAAGTTACTAGTATATTTAGCAGCCGACTGAGGGGTATCTCTTTTTCAAAATCCTCAAATAAAAAGGAGGAATTTGTCTTAACGCATTTGGTTTCCATTTCTTAAAGACATTCCCATTTTCTTTTACGCACAGTTTTCACTTACAACATCAATAATTAAACGGTATTGTGAGTGCCAGATATGTGAAGCATCTCGACAAGAAAGACATATGTTGGATAAGTGGTCGAGAACAAAGTAGAGTTTCCGTGAAGCACATTACATGCACTTCTCTCTGTCCGGCTATTTTTTTTAGTGAATCGTGTCACGTGCACTTCCTTCTGTTCTGTTTTGGTGCGGGATCATGGAGGCACTGTGATGACACTTCGTGCACGAAGCTTTTTTCCCTTTCTTTTGGCTATTTGCCATTGCCCAATTTGGGGCATCATGTCCAACCACTCCGTATTTTCATATGTTCAACTCTACGACTAAGGCATGTGAACGAAGCCTAATACTTTCAACTGATCCTTTGAGCACTGCTTTCGCATCCATTTCCTCATCTTGCTGTACTACATAAAACAAATTGTTCCAAAACAAAAGCTTCCAATATACATCAATTTGCGATGAGAAAATTTGAAAAACAAAATCTAAAAGGAAAAAAACAACTCAAAAAACATTTTCTTCTTATTTTATTACATATGCTGTTTGAAGAACATCATCCATTTGTTAGAAACAATAAATTAATATCTATTTTACACAAAATGGCACAAATACAATGTAAATTTCTTTTTTTAACTAAACGAAATTCTAAGCACAAGGACAACCAGTCTTCGTTAGAGTAACTAAGAACTATACAAAAGCTATTGTTCCACTTTTGACAAGAGCGTGTGTGTGTGCAACACTAACAACAAAAGTGAATCCCTTGGCATTCTTGTAAGGAAAACTGCGAATTAGCTGTTGAAATAGGATACCATATAGATGCGTAAAAGTTTATACTTTTTCAAATCTGTCACTCCTTGAAGCATATCTCAGGCAGCACGTCAACAGTGTAGCACCTTTCAAATGACCAGCATGGATTAAGATCATTTATTTTGCAGACCAAACAAGAAACAAGGCAGCAAAGCTGTCAAATGTACAGACAAAGAACAGAAAATAAAGATGCAAATAAGTGAAAAATTAAATTTTCACAAAAAACTGTTAAATTGCCAGAAAAATTTACCAAACAGACTGTGTTGCCAATTGAAGCTGTATGTAAGACCCATGTTTCTTTCCTGTAAGTTTGAGAACAGTAAGTGTACATGATTTCCCTTAAATGGTCATCATAGGAGCAGTGCCCAAAATAGGGGTTTCTTCAAATTTTGATGCAACATTACATAATGTTTAACAGCATAATGACAATCAAATGTTATTAATAAAATATTAGTAACATGGACATTCAGAAAATGTGACAAGCAAAAGTCTTCAAGATCATGGAACTTTAAANAGGTAAAATGGTTTTCCACTTATCGTGTTATCGGTGCTGCATATATGCTGAAAAAAGTGAAAAAACAGCATAAATTCCCTAAAAGTGACCCGATCATGCTGATTTTCGAACTTGACCTGCGTATTATGAATATTCATCAGTTCTGTAAGTTTCAAGTCAAAAGGTAAAATGGTTTTCCACTTATCGTGTTATCGGTGCTGCATATATGCTGAAAAAAGTGAAAAAACAGCATAAATTCCCTAAAAGTGACCCGATCATGCTGATTTTCGAACTTGACCTGCGTATTATGAATATTCATCAGTTCTGCAAGTTTCAAGTCAAAAGGTAAAATGGTTTTCCACTTATCGTGTTATCGGTAAAAGTGCACGGCGACGACGACGGCGACGACGGCGACGACGACAGACGCAGATGATAGCTATATGTACAGACACATCTGTGTCTGTACATAAAAACGCGCCACAAAATTCTGGAAAACGTAGACCAAAGGCGATCATAATAATCCTGTCTTAACAAGCTTCATTTTATCCCAGCAAATCTCAAAATCCATAAAACTGCCACACTTTGGGGACAATGGCGGTCTGCCACATGTAATACACACTAATTGACGTGCGTGTTGCACGTGGCCACCTCATGGCAACTGGCAAACTGCCTTCCTAAATTACTGTCTTAAGCTGTTGAAAAAATTCTTACATATATTTTCTAACTGTCAGTGTAAGTTTATTTCAGCACGTGGCACAACCTCAAATCAAACAACTTAATTTCTTCATATTTTACCCAATTGGTTTTTAGCACCAGGTGTATACAATTGTAAGTTATGGGGATATAATTTTATGTCTTGGCAAGTTATATGCACGACCATATTTTTGGAAGTAGAATGGGAAGCAAAGCAGGATCTACAAAAAAAAAAAAGTTGTAATATTAAGCGTAAATTCTTTTCCTTCTAGAATTTGCAGTTATAAATTGACATAAGATATTTCACAATCTAATCAAAATCAAATTCTGAATAATTCAAAAAGACCATTTTCTACTTTCACTTCACCTACAAGGAGTACACCAATATGGTTAGTCTTTTAAATGCAAATTTGTATACGTGTAGTCAACATTTCAAATTGAATTATCCCAGTATTTAATTAGCCCTCATTTGAAATATTTATGGGCAAGTAGATAACTGACACCTGGAAGCATTCTGGTTATTAAGAAATACCAATTCTTCAGCATTTGTGAATTAATTATATTAGGAAATGAAGAGTATGAAGTGAATGTCATAAGTACACATACTGACCTTGGGCTATATAAGGCTCATTGGTCACATCAACATTTACATGTACATGTTGTACAATTAGAAGCAGATCTTATTCTGAAGATATGGTCATTTTGTTACATCTGATCTATTTAACATCCGTATGTTAATAACCACTGTTAAAACGGCATCTTTTTGTAGGTGTTTTTGTTTACAACTACAGTGCCAAAAGTTATAAGGGATTTTTTAGATCTGATACATTAAAGTTGCAAATGCAATTTCTGAGGTACTACCTGGCCTTTGTTTTACACTGACCCCATGTGATGAAAAGTCGTGCTACAAACTTTAAAGATACCAACAACATTGTGTTGAAATAGAAACTAGTACATAATGCCATATTTTGAAGGTAAGATTATGGACTAATTCACATATTTTGCAATTCTTTAATCCTTGAACAGCACTGTATTTCATGTAGGAACTTAAAACTCCTATAGTTAAACACCAATACCATATTGCTGATTATTTTACATATTGTGTACTTGTGTAGGACTTTTGAAGAAGTCCACTTGCAAATGTTACTCTCAGAATTCAGACTGTTTATTACTAGGGGTCACCATACTGTTTGTCAATTTATTTGTATTAGGGTTATAAGATCAAATGCCATGTGAATTTGACAACTGCCTTACTTTTTTTCGTGATATCCTCTTTCATAGTGACAATATCAATATTGTCTGATCATTTAAACTTAAGTTACTCCACACTGTTTACATGGTAATTTGAAATTACCCAGAATTCCACTGTTCTAGTTTTAAAAGTAGCAAAAAAAAAAAAAAAAAAAAAAAGCTTCACTGAATATGATTTTACTATAACACTTCCACATGAAATTCTTCTATAGATGAATGTAGTTTAATTTATGATAGCTTTTAAAACTATTTTTTGCTACAATGACAAGATAAATGCAAGAATAATCCACTGGAATATCACAAATCAATTATTCTTTTTATATTACTAAATAAATCAGCAAACATCAAACCACTGATTCTTTAGCAGTTGGGCTATTTTGTAAACTGAAGTCCAGACCTGCTGTAACATTATCCATGGAAAAAGAATGGGATAAACCCGAAGATGATTTTCTAGACTTATTTCTTGTAGAATTCCCTCCTTGAATGTCTGAAGAAGACTTCACTCTGTACAAAGAGGTTGATTTTAAGTCTTTGTTAACTTGACTGAGGGAGTGTTCCACTTGAGACATTCGCTTTCTTAAACTTGTTCCTTCCTGTAATGAAGCAGAAGTACCATACATTTTAATCTTAAACAAGGGAAAATACCTTTTTGAAGGGAACAAAATTTAAGAGCACAAAATGCACAAACAGTACTTTAACAAAACTTAAAATCTGCCACAAAACTAATATAACACCTTGCATAGGTTTCTCTTTCTGATTTTAATACAAGAGTTTGCAACTTAAAAATAGTTTCTTTAACTATGATATTGATCAAGATTTCCACTTTGGTTCTAATAATTTACCTCAGTTGATTTTTTCATCAGAACTTCAAGAGCCTCCGTCACAGAGCTGAAACACAAATTTAAAGATAAAACTAAATCTATATGCAAATATACCACATCTTTTTCTCTATAAATCAGGTAGACTAACTTTAAACCAAGGCAACAAAAAATAAATAAATAAATAAATAAATAAAAAATTCAAATAAAAACAGAATGTCTCTAAAACAATAAAAACTTAAGCATACCATTGCAGTAGATGTGACACAAACGCAATATCAATCACAACTCAATTAAGAGCAGGATGTGACAAATACCACCACCAGTACAATGTACAAGCCAATGGGTGAAAAAATGTTGAATAAATTCAGGAAATCAAAATAATACCACATCTATTTTGCTTGGCCTAGAAGTACCATCAACAGAAACAAAATTCACCATGCATGTTTAAAAAATATCAGAAAGTAAATCCAAGTTGGTAAAACATTCCAGTGTTCAATCATCAGCACCAGGTCGTGTATTGGTACAAAACTTCAAGCTAACTTGCATATATTTTCATGCTAAAGTTCAAACTATGATGATATACTTTTTGCTGTTAATTCAACATGCTATAAATATGTACATTTGGGAAAAAACATTCTCAGTAAGGGTGTCATTATTCTTATATTCAAGAGACCTGAATAGCTTGGCATAGATATCTTCTTAAAAAGTATGCTTTCAGGAAACCAGGGAAATCCAAAGCATCAACACATCAAATATAAACCATGCTGAACACAAGATGTCTGTCTACCTGAAAGTGTATACTCCTACTTTCCCATACCTTGGAAGTTTGCAGAAAATGTAACAATTATGAACTTTAAACTAAACACTAAATGGACATATTTAATAAAATGAATTTGTAATTGTTTTTGAATTACAAATGTGCATCACCAAGTTCTCTAATCAGGTTGTACTGGTGTAAGTGAACTATTCAACAGCTGCAAACAACAGTGTGTGTGCGTGCACATGTGTGTGTACACACATGCTTGCACAGTTGTACTCCGCACACATTTACAGTACACTCACACTGGTGTCAAAAATCACTACACTGAACATCATCATATGTACAGAAATCAAGCCTGAAGAAATCTGAAAGATTACATCCACAGTTGATCAAAATTGATTTTCTCCAGTTATATCATTATTTGTGAACAAGTGCAGAAAGAGAAACTGGTAAGTGTTAATCTGAAGATAATGAACAGCAGTGCCACAGGACAAGTGCTTTGGTACAATATATAACATAGAGGCATGGCAAGCAAACAGTTGCAGAACATTTAACAAGTTACCTTGCCCACTGTGAAACTTTGTAAGCATGGAAATAAAAGTAGGTCATAGTAAGAAAACAAACAACTGAGTTTGATTTTAGAAAACCTTTGACAAAGTTGGTGAAAAAGAATGCCAAATTGTCAATTGAACTAAGCACAGGTTAATATATTATGTTTCTTTACTTCTTTCCCTTTTTCACCAAACACCGAATGTTACCAGAGCGATGATTTATATAAATAAATAAGCAACAGATAATTCAAAATATTTTTTAATAATTGATTTCATACTGACTGAAGCCCTTTTTAAATACTACATCAATTTATTTCCAGTTAAAGGTACCAATAGAAAAGCAAGAAAGGTGAATGTCTTAAAAGAAATGACAATGTAAAATTGAAATGGAATACAATCTACCTGATCACTTTTTTCCCCTTCTCTGCACCAGTTTCTGATGTTTCTGAGGAAGTTTTTCTGACTTTCTTCTCAACAGACATTCTCAGCTGAACGATAAAATAAAATAAAGTAAAATAAAATAAAATAAAATAAAAGTCATATTTCAGATGGTTATTCTACCACAGTTGGACTAGGATTAACTGTAAATACTAGCTTTAAATATTACCCATTGTTGTACATTCTGCATAATTGGACCGGAGGCAGTTTTTCACAAAGCTTTTCAGGAGAAGATAAAAGACAAAAGAAGATATCAAAGAAGGCCTTATAAACCAATTGGTTGTTTGAGAACTCGACCCTGCCTTGTGAGCAGCAATGCCCTAATCTTAAGTTCATGCCATAATATGGTGGTTCTAGTCATTAATTTGGAAGTTCCTTATCACAAATCCGTGGCTTGTGATAGCAAAAAAGCAATTGTCGTTTACAAGGCCTGTTCTAAACTACACTGAGTCCAGCCTACCCTGTCTGTCTGTGTTGAAGAATGACTGACACTAGCAACTGGAGTTTTGGAATGGACACTCTCTAAACTAGAACTCTGAAATGTGATAACACATGTTAAGATGATCATTTCTGAAGTTAAAAATTTCATAAGGTTTACTTTTCTACAAAAGATTGATAAAGTCTGATTAAGTCTTTTAAGTTTCTAAAATAATTTCTTCAAAACAAGAACTTTTTTAACGCTCCAATTAAATCTTAAAGTTTCTTTCTTAAACACTTGATTTTAATTTTTTTCAAACATTTGATCGAGTACGAGTATAATAAGGACTTAGTTTAATCAAGATAAATCTAATGGAATCATAATAAAAAGATGTAAAGTGAAAACACCAAAACATTCTTAATCTATACATAAATGGAGAGATGGACTCAAAAGGTTAAAATTATGTCAATGTAATAGGGTTTGAAAGTTTTAAAATTATATATTTAAACTACTCTCACTATTTTCTGCTGTAACTGCTTAATAGTTTTGTCTTTCTCAGCATCTTTCTGTTTATAGTGTTGAAGTTGTCTTTTTAAATCCTCATTTTCCTGAAAAAATAACTGAAATTATTACCAGAGATATCATAAGATATACAGATCTTGTTAAATTTTCAAAATTATAATTGGTCAAAACCTTTTATATGTATATTTGCAATACAATTTATCCAAGTTAAGATTATTATCTAAGTCTTGCAAGTATGTTCCACATTCAGACATGTTTTTTCCATTTTGTTATTGATCTGATAAATAAAAACATTTAGATAAAAAGTTAAATGTGACCCCAGACATAGAGTCACCCCCTACTCCTGTGTCTAAAAAATATGACATGCACGCATGCACGCACGCACACACACACATACAGTGACTGTCCGTACCTGTTTGAGTGTATCTAACTGAGATGCTGACATTCCATCATCATGAGGCATGCTGCCTATACTCTGCCGTAGGCCATTCTGTTGGTATATAAACATAAATATACTTATTAGATATCATATTCATTACATAAATATCAGAGAGAGAGAGAGAGGGGGAGAGAGAGAGGGGGAAGAGAGGGGGGAGGTTATCTACTCACCTTAAGATTCTGATTAATTTCATTCTGGCCTCCTTCACCCGTCTGAAAATTGATGAAAAATTAAGAATGAGTATCAATTACCATATTTATGATTTATTTCCTTACATTTTTGGGACTTATTTGGCAAAATACCTTTTTCTTTGGTTAACAGTTGAATATCCATCTAACACAGTACTTCAAATAGGAAACTTCAGGCATTTACAGATTAAAGTTTCTCTTCACCTGCATTCCTGTCACTTTTATAGCTAGGTCTGTGAAGTGGAAAACTTACTCAGCTGAGAAATTTCATCAAGTGCCTATGTGAACATTGATGGTTGAAGATGATACAACTTTTTGGCCATATGTATACAGATCAGATACAGATAACCTCACATCATTTTTTTTCTGCACATGCAATCACTGTTTGGAAATATTAATATTCTAGTGGTATTTTATGTTTGACTGTGAAATTTACATGAAAGCTCAAAGACCAAAATTTGAATCAAATTATTACAACTATAGTGAACATCAGAAAACTAAAACAACAACATCAACAACAAATAAATAAATAAATAAATAAATAAATAAATAAATAAATAAATAAATAAAACGGGTTTTCTTCCTTCTTTCACATGTTTTATCAGTTTTCTGTCAGTCAGTGAGACATAAACCACTGACCCACTGAAGTCACAATATGGTCAAGATGATTGTATTGATAAAAATGGATATTAATGCAAGTTAGAGATATATCTGTGAAAAGTCAGGCATGCGGTGTCCTAAATACAGATAGTACACGTACACTGTCTGATAATGTGTGTACTGAAACATGGAGGTGCACTGCACACATGCATACAATTGATTCCACAAATTTTCATCCTCTACAAAACTTCACCATAAAACCTGTACTAGTAATTCATGGAGCTACTGCATTGAAGTATTACCAGAAGTATTACCAGGGAAATAAATTATTTTGTAAATTGACAGATGGACCCATCTGCTGGTTTAAATAGTCAGTCAAAGGCAATTTTCACCATTATTCTTCGCATGTATATTGTTCATGACAAAAATACAATTTATTCATTTATATTACCCAAAATGCTTTTTATTCATCAGAAAAAAAAACAAAAAAACATTTGGCTTAAAAAGCTAAGGTTTTTATATAAAACCCTTTTCCACTGGCATAAGAGAACTCAGTTTACTGATAATAACTCTTTGTATTGTTGATACATTAATTATATTTTTCATATAGACTATAATTTAAGTGAAACAGTAGAGGGTTCAGTTACAAACCTGCCACTACATGTGTCAGTTCACTAACAGCACACAAAACCAAAGAATATTTACAATCAGTCAATACCATCTGGTTAAATTTTTTGTAATGGGGTTTGTGAAAGAGTTCACCCCCATAAATGGTTATATATAGATATATTACCATAATCAGGTCCTTGCCATATAGTATAATGGCAATAATTTAGATAAATTGTTTTTTGATGTTAAAAAACCCCCACCAATCTCATCTACTTCAGCTGGGATGGGGCACCAGCATTTTAGAGAAGTGGACCTCAATCATCCTCTCTCTCTCTCTCTCTCTCTCTCTCTCTCTCTCTGTGTGTGTGTGTGTGTGTCCATTAATGCATGCATGTACAACATTTCATTTTAGGTCCATTTCATAGTTCAATACCCTTCCACTCACTGGAGAATAAAAAGATGAGCACTGACTACTGGAAAAGATCCAGGTGATACTACTGACATACTTCAAACTACCATTATCTAACAGAGCACATGGAATGTGTCCCAGCTACACAGTGTGGGAAATACAATTCAAAAGATTTTATTTCATAAGGATGTTACTAGACAGCTGATAAGATCAACCTATGCAGGACATAAATATAAGCACTTCAGAGGTGAAATGAAAGTGCAATCTTTTTTTCATTCTTCTAAGAACTTACAAGTCATGCACTTTTAGATGATACATGTAAGTTAAGTGTCTTTTGAAGAATGCAACAGGAGAAATATTTTTCACATACTCCTAACCTATGGTCCTATCATAAATTTGAAAAACCTGCCCCTTCCTTTTTAAACTGCTCTATACAAGGTTCATGCTAGCAACATTTTCACCAAGTGCATAACACAATCTGTTTAAAGAAAATGACATATATTTTAAAACATTTTTTTTCTTAATTCATCAGTGCCTTTGTTAAAAAATTGATTTGTAAGTTTAAGGCTGAATCTATTTTCTTGGCAAACTTATTCAATCAGCCAATCATTAAAATAAAAAATAAATAAATAACAACAAAAGTCAATCCTCTGGGTGACCCAGGCTACTCACATCTTGTAGTGCCCTCTTCAACTGAAGAAGCATGGTCTTCATCATTGTCATCTCCTGTAACATGTTGGTATATGTGGAATGATCCAACACTACATCATCTTCCAGGTTGTACTGGGATGGCAAAGTGGTGGAACGTCTTCTTGTTGGAATTGAAGTCTCTGTGCCATTTGTAAGACAGATTCCCACGTTGCCACTTTCATTGATATTTTTACTAGTGCGTGGTGATTTTGGCCTGATCTGTTTTGGTGCAGGAATTCTTCCTGCACTGCCACCAAACCGGGCAATTCTTGAGCTGAGTGGAAAAAAAGTAAAAACTTAAATTTTTATAAAATTTGCTAAAGGTAATATCCAAAATACTATGTTTCACAGTTCTGAACACAATAACAGGATGATCAACTGCAGATAAATAAAACAAAAAATAACATCTTGAATCAAACAAAAATATAACGAGCACACATTACAATGCATATGGGCATTTTTACAATCCTGGGCACTTTTCAGATTTTCCCACATATTGCTAATTAACAAATTACATACATATGATCAAAGAATTCTTTTATCACTATCTTGGAGAATGGTGTAAGTGAAGATAAACACTGAAAATAGAAATCAAATATCACCACCGAGTCCAAAGTTATGCTAAAGCAAAGCCTGAAAAATGACCAAAAATCTTTCCCATTTCAGTCATATGAAATAAAAAGCAATCTGAAATAAATTAAAACAGTCTTTGACATTGCATTTTTTTGGATTATAAAACACTCAGTAGTATGGTTGAAGCAAAAAAGTTTAAATATTAACAGGAGAGAGGTGTATCCTAGAAAAAAAA